ACCCCTAGGCGCAGCACCCCCAGGCTCAGCACCCCTAGGCTCAGCACCCCCAGACGTAGCACCCCCAGGCCCAGCACCCCTAGGCTCCGCACCCCCAGGTACAGCACCCCCAGCCTCAGCACCCTCAGCAGCACCAGAGTCACCAGTGACCTCGACAGGCTCGACCGCGTCTACCTGGGACACACCTGAAGAGGCAGGACCCTGAGGGGGGAGGGGGTCTACCTGGGGGGGACCTGGTACCAGGAAGAGTGGGGGTGGGGGGAGGGACGGAGTGCGGTAGGGGAAGAGGCGGTAGTAGGGGACCGACTCGTCAAACGTGACGTCCTGGGAGGACAGAACACGGCGAGAGGTGGGGTGGTAAAACTGCCACCCAGGCGCGTCAGGGGGGAACCCCAGGAAGACGCAAGGAGCAGCACGAGGGGATAGTTTGTCCGCAGACAGGTCGCGGACAAACGCCCGAGATCCCCAGACCCGGAACGCCGACGCATCGCCAACCTTCCCCGTCCACAGCAAGGCTGGGGAGGTCTCCGGCCTGGAGACCCTGGGGTGGAGGTTGATCTGATGCGCCGCGTACCTCACCGCAAACGGCCACAGAAAATGGGGGGCAGCCGCATGCATCATAGACGTACGAGCGACGTCCATGACCATGCCAATGCGGCGCTCAGCAATCCCATTTTGCTGCGGTGAGTCCGGAAGCGTGAAGGTCTGACGGATGCCCCGTGCACGACAGTAGGCACGCAGAAGGCTAGAGGAGAACTCTCCGCCTCTGTCCGAGTGCAGACGCAGAACAGGAAAGTCCGAGCCGAAGCTCTGCCGGAGCTGGAGACGAGCTGCGCGGATCCAGTCGATCAGCACCTCAGTGACATCACCCTTGCTGCGCAAGGGGAAGACTGTGGTGTAACGCGAGTAGTCGTCAACAACGAGCAGGAAGTAGCGCTCGTGACCCTGTCCACGGACGCGGGCTGGGCCCCACACGTCCATGTGAAGTGTCTGCAACGGGGCCTCTGTCGGAGGAAACTGGGAGGAGTGAGGGGCAGCACGCAGGCGCCCCTCGACACAGGGGACACAGGCAGGGCCAGGGCCCTGAGGAAGGGGAGGGAGGGACCGGGGGAGACCGGACACAAGAAGGCGGGAGGCCATACCTCTGAGCCGAAGCAGAGAGGGGTGGCCAAGGCGGTGGTGCCAGAGGAGAGTCTCGTGAGACAGGAGACGACACGAACAGGGGGCAGACTCAGGACCAGACCTGGACGCCGCAGCAAAGACCTGACCCGACGTAACTACCCTACCAGACTCAGCAACTGGGGGAGACGCAGTGATCAGAGTGTACAGGCTCGACCCCGGCTGACGGGTGAACGTAGCCAGGTGTCGGCCTGTGCTAGCCTCTGTACAGTGGGTCACTCTCTGACGTGCAGGAGTGAACTGGTGGACCCCCGCATCCTGTAGGTCAGCACCACTTACCAGGTTCGTAGAGAACGAGGGGAGGTAGAGACCAGACAGGGTGCCAGAGGGAGCCGCCGGACACGGGAGGACTGTGGAGAAGCGAGACAGGACAGGACCCCCAGAGGGGTCAGCCAGAGACACTGCAACCGGTCGACTCAGCGGTGTGAGTGTGGTGCGGTCCCGAAAGAAGGAGCGAGACGCCCCAGAGTCAAGGGTGAAGGTGAGGGAGGCCGAAGCCGACGCAGTACCTGAGAGCGCAGACTCACCAGTACCTGAGGACGCAGACACACGAGCACCTAGATCAGCAGCGCCGCAAGCACCTAGGGCAGCAGCCGTACCAGGACCTGGAGCAGCAGTCTCAATGCCCGGATCGGGCGGGAAACACCGGTAACAGTCACCCTCATCACTAATAGACACAGCATACATGGCAGAGAGAATAGCATCAATGTCAAGATCATAGATGGCAACACCCGCCCTAGACAGCTCGCCCCAGCGAGGGATCTCGGAGGCCTCCGGGAACTGGTGACGCCACGCGTCCGTCAGGCGGCCAAAGCAGCGCTGGGTGGGGTGGGGACCCCCACACTGCTCACCCGCACGGTCGCCAGTGCGCAAAACGTAGGAGCACGGACCAAAACCCCCACCCCGCTGACGCGCAGTGTACCACTCACGAAGCTGCTGAGGGGACAGGGTGTCACGACCACGCTGCTGCTGCTGGCGCGAGCCACCACCGGAGCCACTCCTCTGCGAAGACCCGCGACCAGCACCACCGCCACCCCCGCCGCCTCCGACGCCTCCGCCGCCTCCGCTACTGCCGCCGCCTCCGCCTCCGCCGCCGCCTCCACCTCCGCCACCTCCACCACCTCCGCTCCCACCGCCACCGCCGCCGCCACCTCCACCTCCACTGCCGCCACCGACCCCTCCACCCCCACCTCCACTCCCACCGGCACCCCCACTCCCCCAACTGCCGCCACCTCCACCTCCACCGCCCCCGCTCGCTCCTCCAGCGCCCTTGCCCCCCTTGCCCTTGCCAGAGCGGCGTCTCCCGCTAGGGGCAGACGCCGCACCGACCGACTCAAGAACAAGGAGGTCGGCCGCAGCAGCAGAGGCAACAGAGGGCAGAAGGGGGGAGGGGGAACACCCCTCAAAGATGGGGGTGCGCGGGTCACCACGAGAGGCCCCTACAGCGACTATGCTCTTCTCGGCCGCTAGGAGGGACTTCTCGAGGAGGTCAACAGTGAGAGTGGTGGGACAGACAGAGAGAAAGTGGTCCCTGACTACGCGAAGGGAGTCAGGAAGGCGAGTGACTATGTAGTAAAGAGTGATGTACATGGGGGGGGGGTTCCTGGCGCAGAAGTCAGGAGGGAGTGCAGCGCGGTAGCGAGTGTCACTAGTGCGGAGGTGCGTAATGAGGTCAGTGACTGTGGGAAAGGCAGTAAGATCAGGAAAGAGGTACGGTAGCATGAGACGGCTCAGTGCAGCAGTGGCAGGGGAGGAGTAGCGCGCAACTACAGCGTCGTACAAGGTCTGAGCACTCTTGTACTGACTAAAGTGCGCACGCTCGGAGGTAGGGAGGTGGCAACGCACAGCAAGACGTGCAGCAGCGTCGCGCGTGGCCCACTGGGAGCGAACAGTGGCGTCAGCATCAGCAGCAGGGGCAGTGGAGGTGCCAGAGGTGAGGTCAAAGAGAGAGAGGCCGTCTGCCCTATCGCACTGTAAGAACAGCTGCAGGTCATCTAGCCAGACCTCAAAGTCAATGGCCCTACCCTCAGCGTCAAAGGCGAGAACACTAGGGGTAGTCATGACCCTAGACGACTAGCAGCGCAAACAGTGGGGTGAGGACAGTGTAGTGAAAAGGCGCTGTGCTCACCAGACTGGGCAGGTCGGGCGGCCCTGAAGGAGGGCGGCGCGGCGGCTCAGCTGCTGGGCGGTCCGGCGGCTCGGCGGCTCCGCTGCTGGGCGGCTCGGCTGCTGGGCGGCTCGGCTGCTGGGCGGCTCGGCTGCTGGGCGGCGCGGATGCTGGGCGGCTCGGCTTCTGGGCGGCTCGGCGGCTCGGCTGCTGGGCGGCTCGGCTGTGCTGCTGCAGGGCGGCACGGCTGGGCAGCAGGTGACGGGGCCGCAGGTAAGGGCGGCGGGGCCGCTGGTAAGGGCGACGTGGCCGCGGGTAGGGTGGCGGGGCCGCAGGTAAGGTGGCGGGGCCGCAGGTAAGGTGGCGGGGCCGCAGGTAAGGTGGCGGGGCCGCAGGTAAGGTGGCGGGGCCGCAGCAGAGGGCGGCGGGGCCGCAGGTAAGGGCGGGGCCGCAGGTAAGGTGGCGGGGCCGCGAGGGAGGGCGGCGGGGCCGCTAGGTAGGGCGGCGGGGCCGCGCGATGGGGCGGCGGGGCCGCGCGATGGGGTGGCGGGGCCGCGAGGAAGGGTGGCGGGGCCGCGCGATGGGGCGGCGGGGCCGCACGATGGGGCGGCGGGGCCGCGCGATGGGGCGGCGGGGCCGCTAGGTAGGGCGGCGGGGCCGCTAGATAGGGCGGCGGGGCCGCGCGATGGGGTGGCGGGGCCGCGATGGGGCGGCGGGGCCGCTGGGTAGGGCGGCGGGGCCGCGCAATGGGGCGGCGAGGCCGCGAGGTAGGGCAGCGGGGCCGCTAGGTAGGGCGGCGGGGCCGCTAGGAGAGAGGCGGCGGGGCCGCTAAGACGGGCGGCTGGACGAAGTGAGGGCCCGGAGCGCGACTCGGGCTGAGCGCGCTTCGGGCAGGAAAAAAAAAATCGATGTGGTGGGCCCTAAGCACAGTTCCCAAGGGGGAACCTGCTCGATACCATGAGAAGATTTGAACAAGTGTGTGAACTATGAAATGAAGTGAGTACAAATATGAAACCCTAATTGGTTGTACCCCTTATGGGATACCCCACTATAGCCTACACAACAGCATAAGCTATAATGTTCTGACAACAGTAACATCATTTTGGCAAGACATGTTCATGTTTCATCCATACAGTATACCGGTAGCTTCAGTCAAGGCAAACTAGGAAATGGGAAGAAATGTGGTACGTCACGTGCTAAATTGCCGTGGTAAATACATAGCAGTCAGTCACCGTTCACTAAATTTTCTTCAAAAAAAAAATATACGAAAAAAAATGAATATAACGATCGTAATAGGTTGCTTCGCAACCCAAAAAACCTAAGCCATCAGGGTGGGCCAGGCTGAAACCCTGATTAGCCAAGCCTAGAACCAATTTTGGGCCCTGATGCTCAGTGAGAAATGCTGGAACGATCCTTACACAATAACATTCATGAAGTGTAGCTACACTAGTCACCCTCGCCTGGTCGCTTCTCGCGTGGCATGTACTGTACCATCCATGTCATCCTCCAGTCCACTCCTCCACCTCGTCCCCTCCCCAGGTTCCCTGCTTGCTGTGCTGGAATTGCTCCTTGCCACGCATGCAAGATTCCTGCACTGCCCATCAGGGCTTCCAGTCCAGCTGCTTGTGCCCCAAACCGACCCAACCGCCGCCCCCCTGCAGCACATTCTCTCAAGACTCGGTGATAGTACACGATTACGTTCCTGCGTGCCGCCATGGCGTCCCGCAGGGCGCTACGACGTCTGCTAGCGTGCGCTCTCCATTCCAATGTCCCCGCGCCGCCACCTCCACCGACCCTCGCCGCGCTGCCCGTCGTCCCTCAACACGCCTCCCTCACGCCGCTGGCGCGCGATCTCACCGCTCCTGCGTTCGTCGCTCCACCGTGCTCTCCCACCCGCCCGTGTCAGTCCCCTCGCCCTCCCAGTAGCTTCGCTTCACGCATGCCGCTGGCAACGCCGCGTGTCAGAGCGCACTTGTTGCCTACTTGTTCACTTGTTGACACTGCACATGTAGCTCTCGACCATCACGGAGCGCGTGTTCTACCGCCCCGCCCTCCGTCCTCCGCTCTCATCTTGCAACCTTTTCCTTTCCCCGCGCACGTGTCCGTCTCCCCCCTCCCCCGCCTCCCCTTTCCTCCCCGCCCCGCCTCCCAGCATGGGCGCTATCGGCGCGCGCGCTGCAGGGCTTCCCCGCACGGAGAGCGGGGCTCGGCGCCGTGCGCCACATGGCGTGACGCTCGGGGTTGTCCGCGCCGCCCCCGCCAGAGGTGCGCGTGGCTGGGGCGGGAAGAATCGTAGGCGGGTGGGAGGAGGGGGAGAGGAAGGAGGGGGGAATGCGCATGGCGTAGTGCGTCGGCAGGCATGAGCGCGCTTGATCAGCCGGCATAGGTAGGCGCGCGCGCGCGCACGCGGGGGGAGCGGGCATAGGCGCGCGCGCAGAGCTGGGATGGGCGGCGGAGATGGCGCGCGGGGCCCGCGGTGCTGCCGTGGCATGTGTCTCCAGATGCACTCGAGTCGTGCATGAGCGCTGGAGAGCCCGTTGAGCGCTGGAGAGGCCGTTGAGCGCTGGAGCACTAACCGCACTTGTGCATGCGCGCTTGCGTGTGTTCATCCATGCATGCATGTGGGTCGACGCCAGTGAGGCCTGGACAATGAACATCATGTGCATCCGCGCTTGCATATGTGTTTGGTTGAACATGTGCATGTGTATGTGCCCGTGGCAGGTGGTGGTGGTGGTGGTGGTGGTGGTGGTGGTGGTGGAGTATGACGACGATGCCACGGATGCACGTGACTCGTGTGCGTGTGCGTGCGCCGGTGAGGCCGCCTAGCGATGATGGAGCACTAACCCGGGGTGGATACGCGCTTGTGTGCATGCATGCATGTGTGTGTGCCCGTGGCAGGTGGTGGTGGAGTATGACGACGATGACACAGATGCACGTGACCGATTCATCGCCGTCGCTGACTACTTGGGTGCGTGCTGTGCTGTGCTGTGCTGCCACACGCCATTGCCTGCCGTCACGTCACGCGCTACCTCTCAACTCTCAACTCTCAGCCCCGCTGAACCCAGCCCACCTTCACCTTCCCCGCCTTGCCATGGTTACCTTCTCACCTCACCCTCCCTTTTTCGCCCTTGTTGTTTCCCCTCACCCGCTGTGGCCGTGTTGTGAGCGCAGAGGAGCGCTTCCCCGCCATCATGGTCACCGGCAATCCCGAGGGCTCCCAGGCCAGGTGCGCTGGGGGGCCATGGGGCGCAGGGGGGGGATGGGCCAGTGGGAGGCAGAGGTCATTGTTGCCAAGCAGGGCTGTGCCATGCGAGCAGGTGGGCTGTGAAACAGCAACTATGTCCCCATTGCCCTTGGAGTTGCTTCAGCCATGGCCGCGCACCAACAATGGGTGGCATGGCATGCAGCATGCGCGGCACATGGCATGGAAATGGCGTACTGCGTCCTCGTCCTCCCCCTCGTGCGTGTGCGTTGCTGCAGGCGTGGGTCGTTCGAGGTCTCCTTTGGCCACTCCCTGCTCTTCTCCCGCCTGCAGGTGACCCATGCTCACTGCCCCATGCATGCTCACTGCCCCGTGCATGCTCACTGCCCCATGCATGCTCACTGCCCCATGCATGCTCACTGCCCCGTGCATGCTCACTGCCCCATGCATGCTCACTGCCCCATGCATGCTCACTGCCCCGTGCATGCTCACTGCCCCATGCATGCTCACTGCCCCATGCATGCTCACTACCCCGTGCATGCTCACTGCCCCATGCATGCTCACTGCCCCATGCATGCTCACTGCCCCATGCATGCTCACTGCCCAATGCATGCTCACTGCCCCATGCGTGCTCACCGCCCCATGCGTGCTCACTGCCCCATGCGTGCTCACTGCCCCATGCATGCTCACTGCTCCATGCGTGCTCACTGCCCATGCATGCTCACTGCTCCATGCGTGCTCACTGCCCATGCATGCTCACTGCTCCATGCATGCTCACTGCCCATGCATGCTCACTGCCCCATGCATGTACGTTGGACAGTTAGAGGAGTTCCTTTCCTTCACCCCGTGCGTGTGCATGCTCCATACGCCCTGCATGTGCTCCATACGCCCTGCATGTGCTCCATACGCCCTGCATGCACACTCATTTTGCCACACTTGTGCGCCACACAGGACTTGCCAGTAGCTGCTGTGTGCACTTGGATTGGAGTGATGCAGCACAAATATAGCAGTTCCTCCCTCCCTCTCTCCCTCACTCCACCACTCTGCAGCTGGAGCGCCTACCGTCCCCAGAGGAGCTAGAGGGCCCCCTGGAGCCGCTGCTGGCTGATGCGCAACCTGAGTAGACGTCCCTCCTCTCCTGCCTCCTGCCATGCATGCCATGCCGCTCCATGCGATGCCATGCCATGCCTGCGGCAGTGGGTGGGTGAGCAGACAGGTGGGTCCCCTACGTGTGGCCCACGTGCGGCACCGGGCCGAGCCGCCATCTTAATATGAAGTTGGTACCCGCAACCCCTCAGGGGGTGGTTACCAGCGGACTCCGTAAGATGGCCCGCTCTCTCCTGCTACCATGGCGCATTTAGGGGACCTGCTTGCTAGAAATTTGTTGCTTGTGATGTGAGCGGGCGTTGTCTAGAATATTAATTACCAGTATATGTTATGTTGTTTGTATGTATGTTTAGGGTTGCACCGCACCTGTCTTCGCCTCGCCACGTACAACAATGTATGTGGCACCTGCAAAAACCTTTTTATTTTCCCGTTACCAGTCGCCAGTGTACGTTGCACTGAGCTCCAGCATTTGCCAAACCACGCAGTGCTGTATAAATCTGTGTCTGCATACGTCCAGGGACTTGCCCGAACCTCACTGCCAGCTCTGCATACTTGGAGCTCATGCCTATGCTCAAGGCCCTGTTCGGCAGGCGCATCAGCATCTAGGCTCGGGAATGAGCTCTGGTGCGGGAGTGGTGCAACATACCAAATAGTCAGGTTTGGGTCTGGTTCGTGTTTTGTCAATTTGTTGCAGGCTCGCGGAAGGAATGTGTCACGTGACCCACAACTGTCGGGGCTGCCCCGAGGGTCGCTGGGTAGGGACCAAACATTCCCATAAGCGAAATCGATGTTACGTGTTCAACCCTAATTTGGTGAAAAGTTTGGCGAATCTTCAATGCTGCCCCGCATCAGTGATGCGCGCATGGATGCTACCTCTCCACGACGCACCATGCGCGCATCAGTGGTGCGTCGATTTGCCAGGGGAGGATGGTTCCAGGAACGAAGTTTTGGCTCCCAAACCTGGGGCCAAAAAGACCGTTCGGCAGCCATTCAGCATCAGTTCGCTTCGGTGCTCATGCGCCTATCCCGGGCCTTTATAGCTGGTCAACCGCTTATCTCAGAAGCTTCTAGGGTGGTCGTTTTACTGTAGCCCAGCCCCGAGCCTGTGCTCATGCGCCTGCCGAACAGGGCCCAAGTGTACCATCTCAAAATACCTCTTATTGAAATCCTCGTTTTCGGGCAATTGCACTCGTAACACATTTTTAGATAATTGCTTGATTCGCGTTGACTGTGTTGAAACCGCCAAATGGGGGAGCTGCGGCGACATTTTGCGCCGTGCCCTTGCTATTTCCGCGCCCCAGTGAAATTGCGCCCAGCATCACAGCTGGCCGCTCCCCTGAAGCAGATCTCCGCAGCAACAGCTCACCCAAGGTCCGACCCCCAGAGTCCCGACTCCTCCCCCAAACCTCCCCCACCGCCAGCTTCCCCCTTGTTTACCGTGCGCACACGGCGGAGAGGCTGCACACGGCGGAACGGTTGGGGATGCTTGGCGAGGCGAGCGCATCTGCTCCGCTTGTTTCTTTTGCCAGCACAACACCTGCTTGTTGCTCCATAGGCTCACTTCACACTTGCTGTCCCTAGTATGTGTTGCAATTCGCCAGGTGTGACTCAACACACAACACAAGCATGGCTCACGACATGCTTTACCCTCTCGACCAGCCATGGCAGCTCGAAAAGACGACGACGACCGGCAAGCACCAGCGGGATCCCGGCAAAGACTTTCCTTTGCCGCGCACCCTGCTCCGCGCTTAGTAGATGCGTCCCGCCATGTGCGCGTGTGCTGCTGCTGATGCGATGCGAATCACCGCCAGCACCACCACCAAGCCACTCACGGTGCCACCTGCATTCTCTCGTCTCGTCCTCGCTCGTCTTGGCGAAGCTGCAGCACTGCCAATGGCGACAGGACGAAAGAGAAAGAAAGCTAACTTGCAGACCGCTATTGAGCTTGCAAGAGGTATAACATCGCTGGAGTTAGCCGTCAAATCCGTTTTTGCGAGTCCTCATTCATCTTTTAGTCAACAGAGCAATCCATCGCGCTACGATCGTGGCGACCGCGTATTACAACTCTACGAATGCGAGAATTCTCTCCTCCGGTCCAAACTAACAAGTTTCCCAAATCGCCGTTTGAGACGTCTCAAGATTAGGGTTTCCTAGAGTGACTGCGCGAAAGCTGAGTGACGCACCCCATATTGACACCGTGGCAAGCGACACTAGCAGTCGCCATAGTTTCATCGCGGAGTCGCAGAGTCGTCGCACGCCGATAGCGTAGCAAGGAAGAACCTTGTATGATGACGACACACATCCGCATCCGTTCAGCCTTACTAGGAAAGGCGGCAGTTGCAAAACCGGCGGTCTCCCGCCTCAGCCGCAGCATCGCGCTCATTGTCTTGATCACCGTCGCCGCAATTTCCGGAGTTTGCTCCGCTCCGCCTCCTCTTTCCGCTTCGAATCCGCCCGAACGGCCTTCCGCGTTGCCGCACCTCCGGCGGAGCCTCCGACTCCGCCTCCCCTCCGCCGCCCATGCGGATATTCCCGCCCCCCTCACCGCCGCGCAAGCCGCGCCTTGCGGAGCTGCTGCTGTTGCGACAACCAGTCGTGCTACTTCGAGCGGCGGCGATTACCGTCGCGACGAGTCGCTTGACGCGCTGCGACGTCGCAGGCGACTGGGCGGCAAAGTCGCCGGGTGGAATCTGTCGCTGGGGCAGTACGCGCTGGCGACGAATCGCACGCGTCGCAGGGACCCGCTGAACGGGATGCGCCCGTACGAGGGCGGCTACGACCCCGCCAACCTGCACTACTGGGCCGTGCGTCCATTGCCACGCCTTCTACCCGCCTCACCACCACACCGCACCACACTACACCACACCATACCAGACCACACATGTGTATCAAGTTATTTCCTCAGCGGCTCACAAGCCTGGCTTTGACAGATTCGTTGTCCCTTTTGACTACCCCTACAACCAGAGCGAAGGCATGATGGCATGGCACGCTGGTACTAGTGGCGGGTGTGCTGCTCTGCTCTCAGTCGCACCACACCCTGTGCTGTTCTGGCAGCCAGCTGAACGGGTCTTGGTCCCTCCTTTCAGTCGCACCGCAACCTGGGGTCTCCCCCATCGCGCGCCGGGGCCCCTACTCTCCTCCCCTTCTTCTCTGTCCTCCCACTCTCCCGTCCCCACGTCCCTTTCTCCTCACCCCCCTCCGCCCCCCCATCGCTTCGCCCTCCGCTTCCCCCTCCCTTTCCCCCTCCCTTTCCCCCTCCCTTTCCCCCTCCCTCCGCCAGTCCCTGGGCGTGACAGCGGGGTTCGGGCCGGTGATAGCGCTGCTGTGGCTGCTACTCGGGCTGGGCTTCATAGGCGGCTCGTGCTGCTGCTGCTGCTGCTGCCCGCGCCACTGGGCGCGCTTGAGGGACCTCACCCGCCGCCCCTACTCGCGCGCTCACCTCACCCTGCCCCGCATCGGCCTCGCCATCGGCTCCCTTTTGCTGCTGTGAGTGTGCTCTCTGCAGTGCGCTGCAGCAGGATGTCTGCAGCTGAGTCGAGCAGAGCGTTGCATGCGCCTTTGGGGTTTCCCCTGCCGTTGGCTTATTGCGTTTGCTTCTGCGCTGCACCAGCAACTGCTGAACCTTGCGCCTCTCCCTCGTCCCTCCCCGTACCCACCCACCCACCCACCCACCCTCCCCCAATCTTTATCCTCGCGGGCGCTGCAGGGGCGGGTTCGCGGTGATGCTGGCGGGAGCCATACTGCTGCAGAAGAGCGCGGGGGTGGTGAGGGACGGAGCAGTGGAGCGAGTGGGGGCAGTGGTGAACACGGTGTACAACGTGTCCCAGGCCATGGCGGGGCTCACAGAGGTGGACGTGGGTGGTAACCAGATACCTGGTACGTGCCCTGGGTGCCGGTGCTCTGTGCGGTGTAGAGCGGTGCAAAGTGTGCTGTGCGGTGGCGAGGAAGGTGGAGGCAAGGAAGGTGGAGGCCCTGGGAGTTCTCTTTCAGTGTGCTCCCTCCTCCTTTCATCATCGCGCTCAGGCCCATCTCCTCCTCCCTCCCTCCCTCCCTCCCTCCCTCCCTCCCTCCCTCCCTCCCTCCCTCCCTCCCTCCCTCCCTCCCTCCCTCCCTCCCTCCCTCCGTCCCTCCCTCCCTCCGTCTCTCCCTCCTCCCTCACCCCTCTCCGCCGTCCCCCTGTGTCATCGCTACAGACAGGTCGGGCGTGCTACAGCGAGCGCAGCACGCGTGGTCGATAGCGGACGGCATGCAGAGCTCGTTCAACGCCGGCCGCGACACGGCAGACCGTGCCATCAAATACATGTCCGTGCCGGGCCAGTGCACAGCTCGGATGGGCGCAGGGTGGGGGGGAGTGATGGGTTGGGGGGTTTGTGTGGCTGTATGGCGTGATGGCATGAAGCATCCATGTATGGGATGGGCTGCCCACCGGCTCATATGCACCTTATCGCCAACCGCGCCCACCCTGCCTCCTCTCACTCCACCCCCCATCTCCCGCTTGCCCCATGCCCCCCCTTGCCCCATCTCCCCCTTGCCCCATGTCCCTCTCATCCCTCTCGCCCCATGCGTGTGTGCATCAGGTTCATGACCCTGTTCGCCATGGGAGCTGTCATCACGGCGCTGGGCGTTGTTGGCGTGGGTGAGTGCTCTGTTGCACGTCACACCACGCCCACCTGTCGTACCACTCGCAATCAAAATTTTCAGTTGAATTGAACCATTGGCCATCGCTCTTTCACCCCCCGCTGCTTGTCTCAACCGCTCCCTCCATCCCCTCCTCCTCTCCCCCTTCCACTCCTCTCTTTGTTCCCCTTCTTGCTGCACCTTTTACTTGTGCCGTGCTTCCTCTCTCTCAGCGTCCATGTCTCTTCTCTTCCGTCGTCCCAACCCGCCCTCTCGCCTGATGTCTGGTTTCCTCAATGCGCTGTTCCTGGTACTGCATAAAAACACCACCGTCGCCCATCTGTCTCCCTGCTCCACGCCGTGCCTCCTGCAGTGCTTGCGTTTCTCAAGCTGGTTATAGCATCCAACATGTAAGAAAGCATGCACATGCACACATGCACACTCACATTTGCTTATGCACACATGTGCACATGCGCACACACACATGCGCACGCACACATGCGCGCACCAAATGCACACAGGCACGAATTCCCTTCCATTCCCCCTTTTCCTCTCTCAACGTCTCCCACTAACCCTGTCTCCCTGTCTGCCTTCCCTCCTCCCCACGCGCCCGTGCAGCATCATCACCATCATGTGGGCCGTGGCAGTCGTCACGTGGTGCCTCACCTCGCTCTTCCTCCTCTCAGCCATGTGCGTGCCTTGCGTGCAATCACTCTCCTCTCACTGCGCCCATCGCTGCATGTATATTTGTGCGTGTGTGTGTTTCATCCATTCTCCGCACACCACGCAATTCCCTCCATCCCATGCTCCTCCCTCCATCCCATGCTCCTCCCTCCATCCCATGCTCCTCCACCCACTCTCCTCCCTCCACTCCCCTCTCCAAACCCCCCATCCCCTCCTCCCCTCTGTGCAGGCTGGAGGGCGACACAGCAGTGGCAGCAAACGAGGTACTCCACAACGCATCCCTGCAGCATAGCATCCTGGGCTCGCTTCCCTTGAGCCCCTCAAATGATCCCCCCATCCGCTCCTCCTCCCCTCCTTCCAGGCTGGAGGGCGACACAGCAGTGGCAGCAAACGAGGTACTCCACAACGCATCTCTCCAGCATAGCATCCTGGGCGCGCTGCCCTGCTCCGCCCAGCGCAGCCTCGCCTCTGTGCGTGTCAGCATCCTCGCTGCAAGCGCGCAGGCCACCAGCCTTGTCAACACCACCGTTGCCACCACCTACCCCCAGGTATTGCCTGCACAGAGAGAGAGAGAGAGAGTGTCTGGAGGAACCGTGTGGGAGGCTCTGGGCTAGTGTGTGTGTGAGTCTGCTACTGCAATGCGTTCTGACCTCGCTGCTTTCCCCACGTGCCGCTACCCACACGACACCCACACGCCACCCACACGCCACCCACACGCCACCCACACGCCACCCACACGCCACCCACACGCCACCCACACGCCACCCGCTTCCCATGACTCGCTCGCTGCCCACCAGGTGCTGCAGCAGATGCCAGGAGGACCCTACAGCGCTGTGTGCGTGCCGTACGCCCCTGCGCCCTCCTACACTCCCACCACGTGCCCTGCCAACGCCATTGACCTGCAGAGCCTCGCTGCTGTAAGCCCATGCCCACTCTCCCCCCCTTCTCACACATTCTCTTTTACTCCTCCTTCCGCACTCGTCCTCTCACTCTACTCTCTCGACTCTCCCTTTCAACTTCTCTCTCTCTCCCTCATCATATCGCACTCTCTCTCTCCCTCATCATATCGCACTCTCTCTCTCCCTCATCATATCGCACTCTCTCTCTCCCTCATCATATCGCACTCTCTCTCTCCCTCATCATATCGCACTCTCTCTCTCCCTCATCATATCGCACTCTCTCTCTCCCTCATCATATCGCACTCTCTCTCTCCCTCATCATATCGCACTCTCTCTCTCCCTCATCATATCGCACTCTCTCTCTCCCTCATCATATCGCACTCTCTCTCTCCCTCATCATATCGCACTCTCTCTCTCCCTCATCATATCGCACTCTCTCTCTCTCCCTCATCATATCGCACTCTCTCTCTCCCTCATCATATCGCACTCTCTCTCTCCCTCATCATATCGCACTCTCTCTCCCCCTCATCATATCGCACTCTCATCAACTCCACCTCCATCATGCTTCTCATCTGCTTCTCATACTCGCCTCAAGAAACCTCTGTGCGCACTGCTTGTATTGCTTGGCTTGTGTGCCATCCCTGCCCTTCCTCCCGACTGCCATTGCCCTGCTGTTGCTACCCCCCCTGCGCACTGCTCCTATTTCCTCGCATGTGCGCCATCCCTCTCCGTCCTGTCCTGCCACTTTGTCATCTTGCCCTCATCAACGCAGCACCCTGCCCCATTCACATGCACTCACCAACACTCTCCTTCACCCGCTCTCCGTGCGGCCCACCCGTGTCAGAACCTGTACGGCCCTGCGAGCAGCGGCATGGCAGTGGGAGTGGTGGAGGACATAGCAGCGGTGAGCATGGGCGTAGCAGCACTCAACGGCTCCTTTGCAGCCATGGACGCCGCTGCCAACTGCTCCTACGTGCTCGACTCGCTGCATGTGCGTCTGCGTGGGGAGGAGAGAGGCATGGAGTGAGAGATGTGTACACCTCCCCTGCACACCTCCTCCCCTGCACACCTCCCCCCCTGCACACCTCCCCCCCTGCACGGCACCAGTATGCCATGGACCAGGGCGACCGCATAGAGCTGGATCTGCAGCTGCTGTGGATCGGCTTCCTCATCCTCTCCCTTGCCTGCATGCTCCTATCCCTCCCTCTTCTCCCCTCACTCCCCACCTTGCTTGCACTACCCACCTCCATCCCTACACAAACACCAGTATGCCATGGACCAGGGCGCGAGCATAGAGCTAGACCTGCAGCTGCTCTGGATTGGCTTCCTCATCCTCTCCCTTGCCTGCATGCTGCTCGCCCTTTGCATCCCCGTCTACGTCTACCGGGCCGTGCGACTGGGACCCGAGCCTGAAAAGAAGGGTGATGCTGCCGACCCTGACAGGTACGGAGATTGGCTGGGGGGCAGGAGTTGGGAAGTGCGCTTGTGGTTTTCTGAAATTAGTTGGAATCTCTTATTGTTAACCCTCCAGTTGCTTCTTTCACTCTTGTTTTCTTTCTCTCGTTTCATTCTTTTTAACACGTCGTCACATCACATGCTGTGCTCTCAACCTTGCAGTCTGTACAAGGCGGGAGGGAGCAAGACTCACCCTGTGCCGACTCCTATCGATGCAGCTGCTGCTGCCGCCGCTGCAGCTGCAGCAGCAGCGACTGTCTACCCGAAGTGCCGAAGTGACCCTTTACGTGGCAATATGGGTTGTCTCCCGCCGGAGAAGCCGCACATGTATTACGGGAGTGAGGCCAGTAGCAGTGACACTTCCAGTGACACAGGCTGTTCCTACAGGTCCAGTCGAAGCTATGGCAGTCACCGTTCTTAGGCAACTGGTATTGTTCTTTGTGAGTACAGGTTCTTAGCATTTTAGGATCTGAGAAAGGTTTGTTGTGCATCAATGCCATTTTGAAGAGAACAAAAGGAACCGATGTAACAGTAATAAGTGTTCAAATATATTTCTGTATCTTGAATGTGGATTCTGTTGATAATCCCGGGCAGGGCCCTAGATTCATTTTAGGGCAGGCTGATCCATCAGCGTGCACCCTTGTAACGGTGAGGATCAGCGTCACCCATTCGTTCACCCTTGATCTGGAGCCCTCGTAGTGAACTTCGCGGACATTCGCGTTACAAAGAATAGCGAGAGATGCGGCCCTCGTGATAGCAACGTGATAGCAACGTGAAAGCAACGTGAAAGCAACGTGAAAGCTGCCATGCTGGAAGGCTGTCCTGTCCCAACTTCGCAGGAAGGCCATCTACATCCAGAACCCCAAAGCTCTGCCCACTTCCGCAAGGACTCAGGGGCACTCCCGCTGCTTTTCACTGAATGCCGATCCCCTGCGTGCCGCTTCGGCCGCGCACGTGCCACGTGGCAGCAGTACTCGTGAGCCGATTCCGTCTTCCCGCATTCTCATCGGCTGTCGCACCGCGCCAGAAATCCGGAGCCCCTTATACACCCCTGACTCGCGGGCAACTTCGAACACTTCACGGTATACGCGTAACGGGTCCGTCCTTAAAGAAGCGTCTTCCGCTCGTTCTCTCCCCTCCGCCCGAGTCACGCAGAAGGCGCGCATCCTCCGCGCAGCAGGCAGCCCCGGGTCGAGCGGAGCGGGGCGGAAGCGGGTGCGCGCCAGCTGGTCCGAAACCGCCGCGCGGGGCGCAGGCGCGCGGAATGAGCTACGCGGGGGATGGCGAGGGGGAAGCGTCCGGCGCGGCGGGGCGGACGGCTTTCCGCGTGGCGGAGAAGCGGTTCAAGCTGGTGAAGGAGGACACGGGGCAGCGCCGACGACGGCGCGGGCAACAGCGCGGGTGGGTGGCGCGGAAAGACATGCGCTGCTGCACGGTGCTCCCTTCCCGCTCATCTCCGCTTTCGATTGCGCGCATGCACCGTCTGCCCTCCCCAACCCATTCCACCCTCCCCACCGTACCCAACCCTACCACCCCGTCCCTTAACCCGCCGACCGTGATCTCCGCGCGGCAGGCAGGGCTCGGACGCGGCGGCGGGAAAGGGCGGCAGCGCGGAGGGCGCGCTGAGGGGGGCGGTGGACTTCCGCGAGCTGGAGCAGCGCTTCCAGGCCACGGGGCAGCTCGCTGACACCTCTGCCCCTGCCGCTACAGCCTCTGCGGATGTTACAGCCGGTGGTGGTGGGGCGGCATGTGTGGCGACGGTGGCTGTGAGCAGCATGGTGCGAGAGGAGGGCGTGGCAGGGCTGCAGTGCCCTGTATACTCCGTGCACGGCAGGCCCGGTGAGTGCACGGCAGGCCCGGTGAGTGCACGGCAGGCCCGGTGAGTGCACGGCAGGCCCGGTGAGTGCACGGCAGGCCCGGTGAGTGCACGGCATGCCCGGTGAGTGCACGGCAGGCCCGGTGAGTGCACGGCAGGCCCGGTGAGTGCACGGCAGGCCCGGTGAGTGCACGGCATGCCCGGTGAGTGCACGGCATGCCCGGTGAGTGCACGGCAGGCCCGGTGAGTGCACGGCAGGCCCGGTGAGTGCACGGCAGGCCCGGTGGGTGCACGGCAGGCCCGGTGAGTGCACGGCAGGCCCGGTGAGTGCACGGCAGGCCCGGTGAGTGCACGGCAGGCCCGGTGAGTGCACGGCAGGCCCGGTGAGTGCACGGCAGGCCCGGTGAGTGCACGGCATGCCCGGTGAGTGCACGGCATGCCCGGTGAGTGCACGGCAGGCCCGGTGAGTGCACGGCAGGCCCGGTGAGTGCACGGCAGGCCCGGTGAGTGCACGGCAGGCCCGGTGAGTGCACGGCAGGCCCGGTGAGTGCACGGCAGGCCCGGTGAGTGCACGGCAGGCCCAGTGAGTGCACGGCAGGCCCGGTGAGTGCACGGCAGGCCCGGTGAGTGCACGGCATGCCCGGTGAGTGCACGGCAGGCCCGGTCAGTTCTTTGCTCTCACTCTCTTGCTCTCCCGTGCCTGCACTCGTGAAGTGCAAGGGCCTTGGGTTGCCGCTTTGTCATGGGATGCCTTTGGCGGAAGCTTTGGAGGGATTTGCCCATTCAACACCAACATGGCTTTGGGTTGCGGCTTTGTCGTGGTGCCAGTGGCGGAATGGCAACCTCACAAACCGGTCACGATATGGCTGCCTGTCTGTCTTTGTGGCTCTGCGTCGTTCCGTCCGCCTGTCCCCCTGTCTGTTTGTCCCTCCGCCCGGCATCCATCTGTCTGTCCGTTTGTCTTGTCACGGGCTCGCCTGCTCCCTCTACCTATCGTCTGCTCTCATCATCTGCCCTTCGCCCTTGGCTTCTCCTTTATTCTCATCACCACTCTTCTCTCCCCCATCCCCTCCACCCCCCCTCCATCCCCCCTCCATACCTGCACCACGCCACACCGCACCACACCGCACGGCACAACAGGGTTCTTCTTCCTACCCGCAGCACTGACGGTGCAGCAGCAGGCGCAGCTGGTGCGGGAGGCGGTGCAGGGCAGCATAGAGCCGCCCAACCGCACCAACCACACCGCTGCCTTGGGCCCCATCCACGGCCTCTGGCCCGCCTTCGCCCTCTCCTGCTCTCATAGTCATGGCAGCACGGAGCATGATGGTGATGAGGATGGTGATGGTGGTGATGGTGGTGATGGTGATGGCAGCAGCAGCAGGAGGCGTGTCAGTGCTGTGCTGCGGCCGTGCGTGGGAGGAGGAGAGGCGGAGCCAATTGAGTGTGCGAGGGAGAAGGGCATGGGTGGGGAGGCGAGGGATTGGGGTGGGGAGAATGGGTTGCGGGGTATTGCAGGTGGCTCGTGCTGCTTTGAGTTTCAGGAGCAAGGGGAGGAGGAGAGGGGGAAAGGCAGAGGGGAGAAGGGGCGGGGGAAAGAAGGGGGAGGAGGGGCTAGAGGGGGTGGAGATGGAGTGGGGGATAGTGGGGGCGAGGTAATGGCCGGGGAGAGAAGTGAGGGCGCAGGTGCGGTGATGAAGAGCGGGGAGGAGGGTGAGAGGAATGGAGACGAGGGGAGGTGTGTGGGGGGGGAGGGTGTGGGTGGGGGCCGTGAAAGGGGGGTGAGCGCGGAGTGGTTGGTAGGCAAGCTGCGGTGGGCCACACTTGGCGTGCAGTTCGACTGGAGCAAGGTGACATGCGCACATGCATGCACTCATTCGTTCACTTTTGCACGCACCACGCATGCGCTAGTCGAGACAGCACAGCTCTTGCTGGCGCTTGCTCTCTTGTTTTGCATGCCTCCATGTGTCTCTCCACTCTCGCTCTCTCGTGGCCTCGTTGCCTCGTGGCCTCGTTGCCTCGTTGCCTCGTTGCCTCGTTGCCTCGTTGCCTCAGAGCCTACAGCTTACAGCCATATGCCCTGCCAGTATCACTTCACTGCACGCCTTGCACCTGCCCCTCTCTCTTCCACTCCTAGTGACATTTCTGCATGCCGTGCCTATTCTCTCCTCTCTCCTTGCGTCATCTCCCCTCTCCCTCCACCCCCGTCCTTCCTTATACCATAATCATCCTCTGGTTGCTTACTCTCTCCACCATTTCTCACTCCCTCCCTCGCACCGTCTCGCCTCCACAGCGTGCCTACGACCCCTCGCTGCCCTTCCGCCCCTTCCCTCCCTTCCTCGCACACCTGGCCTCGCGCCTGGCCGCGCCGGCCATGCCCTCCGCGCATGACAACTTCTCTCCTGAAGCTGCCATCGTCAACTTTTACCATCCAGGTGTGCCTCCCTCTCTCTCCCCCCCGCCTCTGTTCTGCCCTTGCTTGCGTAGTGTTAGGAATGTGGGTGGACCGTGGAAATACACATGGGGGTGCGGGTGGGAGTGTGAGAAGGAATGCCGAATGATGATAAACGATTCCTTAATTGGATAGCACGAGTGGTGCTGGTGTGGTAGCGGTGCCTGGGCTACACGCTCTCTGCTGTGTGTGCTCTCCCTTGCAGCAAGTGTGCTCCTTGCCTTGCCCGCTTGCTCCGTGCATCCACTCACACCCACCTCTCTGTTACACTAGACATTGTCGACTGCCTGTCCCACCATCTCTCCCCTCCCTCCCCTCCCCCCCCTCACTCCCCTCCCCCCCTCCCTCCCCTCCCTCCCCTCCCTCCCCTCCCCTCCCTCCACTCCCCTCCCCTCCCCTCCCCTCCCCTCCCCTCCCCTCCCCTCCCCTCCCCTCCCCTCCCCTCCCCTGCACGGCGCGCCTGTCCCCGTGGTGCATGCGGGCATGTGAGCACCAGGGGACATGCTGGGCGGGCATGTGGACGACATGGAGGCGGACTGGACCAAGCCCATCGTCAGCATCAGGTGCGCCACCAGGGGGGCATTACCGCACACACGCCACCACACGCCACCACACGCCACCACACGCCACCACACGCCACCACAGCCCACCACAGGCCACCGCCATCTCTCCCTTGCCACACCCCCTCGCCATCGCCCCCGTGCTCTCCCCATCTCGTCCCCTTCACTGTCTCCAAGCGTATTCCGCCTTTCACCTCTTTCATGCCTCGCACCTAGTCCATATCCCTCCTCCGCCTCCTCTACCTCTGGCAATTCCGCCTTCGCGCCCATTCCCCCCTGTCCGCCTGTGCTGTGTGGCCCTGCACTGCACAACACCGTCTCGGGTGCAGGGCAGTGTTTCTTCTTGGGGGGTTGTAAGGTGCCTTAAAAGTCTCTCACTCCCGTTTCCCCCTCTCCCCTCCCGTTTCCCCATCTCCCCTCCCGTTTCCCCCTCTCCCCCCCCCCATTTCCCCCTCTCCCCTCCCGTTTCCCCCTCTCCCCTCCCGTTTCCCCCTCTCCCCTCCCGTTTCCCCCTCTCCCCTCCCGTTTCCCCCTCTCCCCTCCCGTTTCCCCCTCTCCAATCCCGTTTCCCCCTCTCCCCCCCCCGTTTCCCCCTCTTCCCCCCCACCCGCCCCCGTGCCCCCCTCTCCGCCTGGGTGCTGTGTATCCCCTGCGGCCCACCGCCACAGTCTGGGGTGCAAGGCGGTGTTTCTGCTGGGCGGGCGCACACGGGACGAGGCACCCATGGCGGTGGTGGTGCGCAGTGGCGATGTGCTGCTCATGGCCGGGCCCTGCCGGGAGTGCTTCCATGGTGCGCGCGTGGGTGATGGGGGTGTGGGTGGAGGTGGGGTGGGAATGGGGGTCGTGGTGGGGGTGATGGTGCGGGCATGGGTGGGGGTGTGGGTGTGGGTTTGGGTGGCTGTGGGCGTGGGTGTGTGTGCATTGAGAGTGTGTCCATGTTACCATGTGTGGATGCGTGCATGTGCATGTACAATAGAGGGAGGGAAGTGGTCACAACAGCATAGAGCAGAGTTGGTGTGTCACAGTTGGGTGTGGGTGCTTGGGTGAGTGCATGGTTTTGACTGAGTGCATGGATGTGTATGCTTCTCTCTTGCACCTTCCCCCTCCCCGCCTCCCCCTTCCCCCCTCCCCCTTCCACTTTTCCCCTTCCCTGCCATCCTCCCATCCCCTTTCTGCCTCCCTCCCCCTTCTCCCCGACTCCCTATCCCATCCCCTCTACCCATGTCCACCCCCTTGTCCACTCCGCCCTTCCCCATCAGGAATCCCGCGCATCTATTCCGACCCCTATGAGGCAGACATACCTCCTGAGCTCCTAGCTCCGCTCTCTGCTGGGGGTCTGCTCCCTGCTCCCATGCGCTCGCTGCTGCCTGCTCTGCGAATCAATGTCAATGTGCGCCAGGTGTACTGACGTGTGCAATGCAACACAAACAACGTGTTTCTATAATAATGAACACCTTAAATCAATCACGGTAGATGCGGCAGCTGGGTTGTTGAACCACCTGGTCCAAGCTGGTCTATATTGATTTGAGGTGCACCAGTTGAAGGACATACCAGTACCAGACAGTTCAATTTGATAGGTGTGTGCACTGCCGCCATATTCCCTGATTCCACATCGGTATGGAGTCAGTCACACAATTGCAACTGCAACACTCAGGAAATGTACACTTTCCGGCTGTAACTGAAAACCCACCCATTCAACTGGTGTGAGCTGTGAACCATCCTTGGAGGAACCATCGGGCAGCGATGCCTACTGAAGCAACTGGTGCTCGCACAGGTGCCCTTACAATCGCACAGACACACACCTACTGCATGCAACTACTGTAACACCCTTCTCTGCTTGTCACCTGGCACAACACAGCAAAGTTGCAGCAGCCTCTGCTTGGCACACTGTGCCCCATGCTGCGTGCCCCGTGCTACGTGCTGACCCACCCAGGAGACCGGCAGCGACGGCACTGCAAGGTGCAGGCAACCTGTGCTGGCCCACCCACTGCACTGCACTGCACTGCACGCTGCCAGCCTGCCAGCCTGGCTGTGATGCTGTGGTGCCTATCTGGTGCTGCCGGGGATGTGGGTACAGGGATGCAGGGGGGTGGGGATGGTCAGGGATGGGCGTTGACGTGTGCATGTGTGGAGACACAGGCATCCGCATTGATCATGTGTACGTGATGCATGATGCAGACAGCGCGTGCCTAGGCTTACGTCCAACATCTCTCATCAGAACTGGCTCACCAATGCATTGTGCTGCCCCCATGCTGCCCCCGTGCTGCCCCCATGCTGCCCCCGTGCTGCCCCCGTGCCGCCCCCGTGCTGCCCCCGTGCTGCCCCCGTGCCGCCCCCGTGCCGCCCCCGTGCCGCCCCCGTGCCGCCCCCGTGCCGGCCCCGTGCCGGCCCCCATGCGGCCCCCATGCCGCCCCCGTGCCGCCCCCGTGCTGCCCCCGTGCTGCCCCCATGCTGCCCCCATTCTGCCCCCATGCTGCCCCCATGCTGCCCCCATGCCGCCCCCATGCTGCCCCCATGCTGCCCCCATGCTGCCCCCATGCCGCCCCGTGGTGGCCCCATGCAGTCTCCACGCAACCCCATGCCACCCTCATGCACCCCCTCCCCTGGTGCACGCACGAGAAGAGCAGGTAGCGGTCACCAGGCAGCAGCACGAACGCCTGTGTCTCTCCCGCCTCGCACGACTCCCGCCGCCGCGCATCCCGCTTCTCACCCTGCACGCAGGGGGGAGATGGGGGAAGGGAAGAGATGGGAGGAGGAGAGAGACTGAAGGAGGGGGGAGATGAAGGGTAGGGGGAGAGTAGGGCAGGGAGGAGATTGGCGGAGGGGGATGATGCTAGGTTGATGCTGCCACACCGCAGCATCTCATGTGGGACACTAGCAAGCAAACAAGCAACCGTGCAGTGCACGTGAGGCTGCTCGTTCCGCAGGTGCCAGGGCAGGGGAAGGTGATGATGCCGTACTGTGCCGGGCCGCTACGGAGATCACACACACGCGCGACACACCCATGAGAGTGTGTGCTGCTGCTGCTGCTGCTGCTGCTGCTGCTCGCTGCACTGCCCCACAGGACTCAGTGCTTCACCGCACAGTGGGCCCACCCTGCCACCGCCCACCAAGCCCTCTCACTCAAGCCCTCTCACTCAAGCCCTCTCACTCAAGCCCTCTCACTCAAGCCCTCTCACTCAAGCCCTCTCACTCAAGCCCCTCAGACTCAGGCCCCTCAGACTCAGGCCCCTCAGACTCAGGCCCCTCAGACTCAGGCCCCTCAGACTCAGGCCCCTCAGACTCAGGCCCCTCAGACTCAGGCCCCTCAGACTCAGGCCCCTCAGACTCAGGCCCCTCAGACTCAGGCCCCTCAGACTCAGGCCCCTCAGACTCAGGCCCCTCAGACTCAGGCCCCTCAGACTCAGGCCCCTCAGACTCAGGCCCCTCAGACTCAGGCCCCTCAGACTCAGGCCCCTCAGACTCAGGCCCCTCAGACTCAGGCCCCTCAGACTCAGGCCCCTCAGACTCAGGCCCCTCAGACTCAGGCCCCTCAGACTCAGGCCCCTCAGACTCAGGCCCCTCAGACTCAGGCCCCTCAGACTCAGGCCTCTCAGACTCAGGCCCCTCAGACTCAGGCCCCTCAGACTCAGGCCCCTCAGACTCAGGCCCCTCTGACTCAGGCCCCTCTGACTCAGGCCCCTCAGACTCAGGCCCCTCAGACTCAGGCCCCTCAGACTCAGGCCCCTCAGACTCAGGCCCCTCAGACTCAGGCCCCTCAGACTCAGGCCCCTCAGACTCAGGCCCCTCAGACTCAGGCCCCTCAGACTCAGGCCCCTCTGACTTAGGTCCCCAGGCCTTGGTTGCTGTGTGAGTGAGGGGCCATCTGGGGTGCTCCCAGGGTGACACGGACGAGCAGGGGAGGAGGTGAACGGGGAGGGATACGGAGTGGGGGCAGGGGCAACACGTACGTACGGGAGAGGAGGCGAAGCTCCAGCAGTTGACGACGGCCCATGGCACGCTGGGGGAGGAGGCGCTGTGGTGCTTCAGAGTGGCCCTGCATGCTTGCCGCATGGGAATTAGCAGGGGTTTGGTAAGGCAATGGGTGGGTTTGGCAATGGGGTGGCATGGTAGTAGGGGGGGAAGAACAAGAGTAATGAGGGAGACAATGGGCGAAAGAATGGAAGAACGTGGAAGATAGGGAGGGGAGACAACAACAAGGCTGAGAGGGAGAGTGACAGTGGGAGGATAAATGGGAGAGCAAATGAAGGTAGAGTGGATAGAGGGAGGGGGGGTACCTGACAGCATCAATGAGTGCTAGGACCTGTAGCAGAGGAGAGAGGAGGGGGGGAGAGATGGAGGGAGAGAAAAGGAGGGAGAGATTATGAGGGAGAGAAAGGGAGGGATAAAAAGGGAGGGAGAGGGAGGACAGAGAGCGAGAATAAACAACTGACAAGCGAGTTTAGCGAAAGAGAAGCAGGAAGGAAGTGGCGGCACACAACACGACCCCCCCAAGATGGGACAACAAGGTGAAACAAGTGGCGAGGCGCTGAAGCACACCTGTGAGCTGTTGATTGGCCCACACACTCGCAGGGAGTGAACCGAACCAGTGGCTGCTGATGTCATCGGTGAGGCTGCTGATGTCATGGGAGGGGTGGCTGATGTGGCATGCGAGGACATGTTATCCAGAGTGGTGTTCAGCCTGCGAGCACACTCGTTCCTGTCACCGCAAAAGGTGTGCAGGCATGAGTGAATGGGTGGGTGGTAGTGGTGTGTGTGAGAGAGTGTGTGTGAGAGAGTGTGTGTGTGAGGGGGGAGGGGAGGGAGAAAGCTGGGTACAGGATGCCTCTATATACTCGGTACTTGTGTGACAAAGTATATTTTCGCCCTGCTACTTTGCAACGGTACTTGCGCCTTGCTAGCGCTGGTGCTAGCACCAATTGCCTGCTGACCGGCGGTCCCATCGCATGCCATGCCTCACACACGTGCTAGCAACAACTGACTGAAATTACTACTTCAATGCATCACCATCCCATGCCATGCCACGCCGTCCCATGCCATGCCATGCCAGTCCAAGAGTTACTGCAGGCTCACATGTGTCGTGTCATGCCACAAGAAGCTGCTCCGATCCATTCATGCATGTCCGCTGCTGCCCCCATGCCTGCGCTGCCCGCTCTCCCCTCCCCAACCCCTTCATCCACTCCACCCGCTCTTGCCTTTCCTTCCCCAACCCCTGCTCCCTTGGCATCAGAATGGCGTGGAGAGATCGTTTCACCACCACTCCACTCCATATCCTCCCCTTCCCCTCCCCCTCCTCCTCCTTCCCTTGTTTCCATCTCTCCTCCCTCATTCGCCGCCCCTCTCAAACCACTTGCTGACGTGGCAGTCTCGAAGAGCTTGTCAGCATTCGACAGACAGGCAGGGGAGAGGGCTCGGTGGATGGCGGAGAAGGGCACGTGTCGGGCTGTGATTGGCTGAGGGAAGTCAATAGGCTGGGGCACACCATCTGGAGAACGATGAGGGAGAAGGTATAGTGGAGAAATGGGAAGGGGGAAGGGGGAAGGGGGAAGGTGAGGCACTGCTACAGAGAGATGAGTTTTGGGGTGCCTCAAGTAACATTCCGCTCTGGTAGTATGGTCTGTGCAGCTTTGTTTCATACCGGTGGAGCAGCAGTGGCAGGGATGACCGTGAGTACCCATGCAGGAACAGGTGCATCTAAGGCACCGTGTGGAGAAGATGATATGCCGCACCACCGCGCAAGTTGTAGGACAGGATGGTGTGATGTGGATTACTGCGTGTGAAGAGGCAGAGGTAGTCCAGTGATGCGGGGATGAGCTCACTCACTCGCTCCAGGACCTGGTGCGGTGAGAGAAGAGAGTGTGGTGTGGAGGGGGATGGAACGAATGGGATGGCAGGAAGGTGGACGGCAGCAGGACGCGATGCAGAGTGAGTGTGCAATCGGCATGTGCTCACGAGCGTGCTCTCAGTTGTGGCTTGTCGATTCTCACCCTGCACTCACTCCCATCCCATGCACCGCCCTGCAAACCGCTCCCTTCCACCTCCTCTGTTTCACACCATCTCCCCTCTCCCCCCTCCACCCAACACCCACTTATCCTCTCCCATCCCACCCCTCACCCACCCCCATCCCCCATCCTTCATCGCCAATCCCGCCCGCCACGTCTCTCCCGCACTCTGCAGGCCCCCATGCGGCCAACGCGCTGACCTTGTCGTGCAGCTTCTTGCCGGGCTTGAAGGACGGCGCACACAGGTCCACACAGATCACTGCCACATCGCAGGGCGCATGTGGAGGGCGCGGATGGGGAATGCAGGGAAGGGGGTGGATCGCGGGGGGGAAGGCAGGGAGAGGGTCGAGTGGGAGGGCGAGGGAGGTAAGAGGAGAGGGGGGAGGGAGGTAAAGGGAAGGAGGAGAGGAGGTGTGGGGAAGGGCATGGCGAAGCGAGAAGCAGCGGCAGCATGCATTGGCGAAGCGAAGTGGGAGGATTCTGAAAGGAGAAGAGGTACTGGAGTGACGTGAAGTGAAGTGCTAGACGCGAGTGAGTGACTCACAGTACTGCTCGCCCGGTACTGCTGCTGACGCCTTGCCTGGCAGCCCCAGGCGCTGAAAGGTGTCCCTGCCCACTGCCATGCGCAGATGGCCTGTGTGCGTGCGCGAGGGGGAGCGAGTGAGAGAGAGAATGAGGGAGAGAGTTTGTGAGGGAGGGGTTGTAAGGGGGGCGGGGGGGTGGGGGCGTGTGCGTGAGTGCGATGGATACAGGGGGAGAGAGGGAGATGGGGTGGGGAAGGGGTAGTATGGGAAAACACAGGTGGTGGGAAGAGAGCACGGGGGAGCAGCCCCAATACGAGCACTATGCAGGGTGGCAGAGGCATGTGAGGTGAGGTTCAGTTCGGTTAAGTTAGGTTCGGGTAGGTTCAGGTAGGTTCCCCTATGTAGGTTGTGGCGCCCAGTGCCTCATGACGCACACACAGCATACCAGAGGGGGTGATGCTGATGACGTCTGCATTGGGAAGGGCAGAGGCCGCTGCATTGAGACTCAGCAGGGCGAATTCAGCTGTGGGTGGAGGGGAGAGGGGCGTGATGGAGGGGGCGTGATGGAGGGGGCGTGATGGAGGGGGGAGAAGGAAGGGGGAGAGGAGGCGAGAGGAAGAGGGAAATGGAGGAACGGACAGGAGGGTAATCAGGAGATGGGGAAGAGGACGGGGGAGGGAAAAAGGGGAGGGAGAGGAGGGGCAGTAGGAAGGTGGAGCGAGAGAAGGGTGGGAGAGAAAGGGGGAGCAGAAAAATGGTGTGCGGAGCAAGAACAGCATGAGGTGAGGCGTGAACGTGGTGGGCGCAGTGGGACGGGGCTGGGACATGGAGGAGAGGGTTTGAGTGGGGGAGGGCGGAAGGGCAGGGGAGGGCGGTGTGTGCAAATAGGGGCCTCAAAGAATACTCCTCCGTGCCCCCAACCTCGTCTCGTTCCCACTTCCCCGACCCGCCCTCCCCTCCCCCGTTTTTTCTGCTTCCTCCCCAGCCCTCAAAACCCAAACCCCGTCAGGGCCCAAAACAAACCCTCCTTCATCCTCCCCCCTCTCCCCTCTCCCCTTACCCCCCTCCCCCTCCCCCACCGTTGCGCGCGCGCACGTGCGCGTCCAGGAACGCGCGCTGCAGGAGCGCGCCGAGCGGCCCGCGGATGACGTGGTAACCCGGCGATGTGATTGTGTCCACCGTGGCAGCCAGGGCCGCCACCGCTGCCTGCGCATGCACGGGCGGGGGGGGGTGGGGAATTGGGGAGGGGGGAAGGGGGCGGAAGGGGGGGGAGTGGGGAAGGAGAAGAGGCGCGGAGGGAGGGCCGGCGGGGGTTGGTTGGGGGGAGGGGCGGGGGGGGAGGGGAGGGGTGGAGAACATATGGAATGGTTGCGGCAACGGAACTCGAACGGGACTCCATCCCGCGCCATTGCCTTGCGGGGAGAAACAGAAAGATGAGCGAGGGGCGACGGCAGACGCTGCAAGCTGCTTCGCCGCCGTACCTGCGCGGCAGGCTCGGCAGGCGCGGGGAGGGGCAGCAGCAGCTCGAGCGCGCAGCGGAGGGGGAATTCGGCGAGGTCGCGGTGGTGGCGCTGCGCGGGGTGCGCGAAGGACGAGCACCGCAGCGTGAGCGACGGCACCCACCCCATTACAAGCTGCTTCGATACCGTCGGTTACGGGTTCGCACGGCGCTTCCGGCGGGAGCGGAGACGTTTGGCGGGAGGTGAGGACGGAGGAGGACGACGACGGCACGGGGGGTGGCAGGATGAAGGCGAAGACGGATGAGGGCGTGGCACAAAGAGAAGAGATGAGCAGACCGCCGGCTGTACCTGAGCGAGGTTGGAGCACTGAGCTGGTGGTGAGGAGCAGGTTTGAAGTGCGGGAGTTGCAGGAGCCTCTGAAACAGGTGCTCCGATACTGACAGCAACTCCGAGGCATCTTCATCGCCGCAAGCATCAAAAGGTGTTATTTTCTTGCACTATATTAGCCCACCTTAATTCGTGTCATTCTATTTTGTGAGATATAATCTGTATGTGCCACTAAATAATGCATTATCGGCATTCAGATTGATTTTGGGGTGGTTTGAAAATATAATGAGTTGGTGGTACGCAAATTGACACTGAAAATCAGATACCAGAAGAAACCATTCTACACAAAAAAAAACTCTCTCCCCCCCCCTCCTCCCCTCCAATCTCCCCCTTCCCCCTCCCCCCCTCCCCTATTCTCCCCCTCACTTTTCTTTAAGTTCTTATCAATCAGACCCAGTACACAAGAAAGTTTGAAATTCAGACAGATCATATCATCATACACTAACGAGTATGTTGTTAGGAGTGAATTAAGTTGATTAACACCTACAAACGTTTTTCGCTTCCGAAAGTTCCAGAAATGGGAGCTACAAACGGAGACACATGAGAAGGTTCTTCAGCCACTGGTGCTCCGCCAGACGCCATGTGGCAAGCGCAGAGCCAGCTTCGCCCGTACAGTCACATTCGAACATTCGTCCACCCCCACCTCTCCCCCCTGATATACGCACAATCCTGCTGCAATAAACCACCCCCCAACATACCCCCTTACACCATCTCGCCTTCTCCCAACAACACCACCTTTCTCGCCATCCCTTTGATTCCCCGACTCTTCCCACCCTCATCCGCGTGCGTCGCGCTAGCCCGCCATGGCCAAACGCCTGATCCCTCTTTTGGATCGCGTGCTCGTCGAGAAGATCATTCCGCCCAGCAAGTCCCTCGGCGGGGTTCTCCTGCCCGAGTCGGCCACCGCGTCGCAGGTGCGCGTCCCGCTCCCCGTCGCCCCCTCGCGTGCCCTCTCCTAAACCTGCGTTCAACGTGTAGTTGCCTTTCTCCGCCGAATCCGCCGACGCTTTCGCGATGAGCGGATGGATCGCGATCGCGATGCGAGGTGGTAGCCACGTTCGGCGCCTTTGCTGATCTCCGTGGTAAATCCCCGTGATCGATCTCGCTCCTCATCCCTCATCTCCGTCAATCCTCGCACTCCCGCCCCTCTTTCTCTTCCCCGTTTCCCCCGTCACTCCCTCCTCCTCCCGCCTCCGCTCCCCTTCCCCCGCAGCTGAACACGGGCAAGGTGGTGGCGGTGGGCGCGGGGGGGCGCACTCGGGACGGCACGGTGATCCCGACGGCGGTGAAGGAGGGCGACACGGTGCTGCTGCCGGAGTACGGCGGCAGTCAGATCAAGCTCGACGACAAGGAGTGAGTGCCGCGCCCTGCCGCTGCTGCTGCTGCTGCTGCTGCTAGTTGATCGTGCCGTTCGCGGCGTCGCCGCAGTGCGCTCTATTTGTGACCCTGTTTGGGGACACACTCGTGCTCTTTCGTCGTTGCTGCGACGAATCCCGATGAGCTATAGAGCCCGCGGTCTATCTGCGACAGCTCTCGACGCCTCCGTCACCCCAGTGTGCAGGAAACGTCCTTTCATTTCCTCTGCTCTGCCCCGTCCTTGATTGGGGCTCGAGGATCGGGGAGATCTGATTGGTGCGGCTCATGCTGCGTGGGTGATCGGCTGCCTGGCTTCTTGCTCTCGTCCTTGGCTTCCTTTGTCCGCCTCTGCTTGCTCTATCTCAACTCCCCTCCGCCGTCCGCCCCCCTCCCCCCCCCTTTCCCCCCTTTTATAACCCTCAAACACTTCCCTCAAACACTTCTTTACTCTCCCTCCCTCCCTCCCTCCCTCCCTCCCTCCCTCCCTCCCTCCCTCCCTCCCTCCCTCCCTCCCTCCCTCCCTCCTCTCCCTCTGGTCCTACTTTTCTAGGAACTTGCTTGCCTTGATATACATAGCCTCCCTTCTCCCCCCTTCCTCCCCTCCCTCCCCTCCACCCCCTCTTTACCCCCGGGTTCGTGTTCTCTCCTCCCTCGCTCCCTCTGTCCCTTGCTCTCCCCCTCCCCCCTTTCATGCTGCCGCTATCCAGGTACGTGCTATTCCGGGACGATGACATCCTGGGAGTGCTCAAGGACTAGCCGCCGTCATCCTACCTCTTACTTATACGCACCGCCTGCCTCATTCCACGGGCCTTCCTCTTGTTTCGCCAGCCGCGAATGGTTCGTGTTAGGTCACAGCAGATGGCGTGCCTGCTGCACCCACCAGCACAACGAGCGCTGTGCTGGTGGTAGGGACGTTCAGAGGCTGTCATATGCCATGGGGGCATAGTTAGAAGATGCTGTTGATTCAAAGCAGCATCTGGGGCAGTTGCGTGTTGGTGTCTGGCAGGGTGGGGACGGCGCTGAGTGCTACAGACAATGTGTAGGGCGGCTTCCATGGTGCTGCTTATGTCTGGGGAGTTGGTAGGGTTTCTTACACATAGAATTTGTTTTTTCTAGTGTTATTGTTAGGAAGTGAGGCTGAGGTTACGGACAATCTCTAACGGTCATGACGAGGCCCGGTGTCTCAAGCAAAGGCAGTCTGGAAAATATCAAGGGCATTTCAGCCAGAAATGAGCACAAAACTTCATTAACATATGCACTCTGGTTTTAAAGACTGTTACGATATGAAACTTTATGAGAAGGCATTCCTGTATGCTGCAGGGGCCGACTCTAAAAGCGTGTTCTTACGCCTCATATCAAGCGAACCTCATATCAGGCTCACACAGGGCTAATTTTTTGTTTTTGCCAACCCTTACGATCAGTGTTGCACATGTTCAAAACCCTGATTATCAGTGTGACCCCTTGTGGGAAAACTGATTCATCAGGGTTTCTGCTTAGTTTGAATATTCAACCCTGAGGCATCAGTGTACAATGTTCTCGAACCCTGCTGAAATTGTCATTAACAGAGCACACAATAACAAATTTACAGTTTCGACAGTTGGCAATAGGGAATCCCGGGTTACGGGGTAGGGGGGTTAGGGGAAGGGGGGGGGGGGGGGGGGGGGGGGGGAGGGGGGGAAGGGGGGTGGCGGGGGGTGGCTGGTACTCGCTTCAGGGTAAAACTCGCTAAGAGGATCGGCAACACTGAGGCGACAGTGTGCCTTATTCGTAAACCCTGGCACATCAGGGAAAATCAAGGTCCCAAAAAAATTACCCTACGGCATCAGTGTTACACCCAAAAACCACCCTGATAATCAGGGTATCAGGGTGATTTACCCTGATAAAATAGGGACTGGGCTCACACTGGAAATTCCCCTAAACCCAATATCCTTCGACATTTTTACCAGGCAAGACTGATATGAGGTTGCCTGATATGAGGCGTAGGAACACGCCCTAAAGTGTACGAAGCCGATGAGTCAGAAGAGTCGAAGCGACACTGGTAACCGTTGTCAAATTACATTTGTTATCTCTAGGCTGTAGTGGGGCTTACCTTAAGGGGTACAACACTTTAGGGTTAGTGTCAAATGTTAATGTTATGATAGGCTGCAGTGAGGCACTCCCTAGAGGGTACAACATTCGTAGGACTCCTATTTGTATGCTTGCAAACCCTAATCCCAACCATTCCGTTGCATGTAGATTCTGAGATGGTATCACGAGTAGGTATCGATCCTCCCTCCCCGCCCTAGCCGGCGCGCCCTCCGTTCCGCGCCCTCGCGCCCTCCGTAGCGCCTAGCGCCCTCCGCGCCCTCCGTCACGCCTCGCGCCCTCCGCGCCCTCCGCGCTCCTAGCGCCCTCGCGCCCCTTAGCGCGGCCCTCAGCCCGCCCCACGTCGCGCCCCTTAGTGCGCCCCTCGGCCCGCCCCTCCGTGCCCTCCGCGCCCTCCGCACGTTCGTGCCCTCCGCGCCCTCCGCACGTTAGTACCCTCCGCGCCCTCCACGCCCTCACCGCGCGCCTAGCCCGGCCCCTCCCACTGTCACGCCCTCCCCCTGCCCGTCGCACCCTCCCCCCTGACCGTCGCGCCCTCCCCCTGCCCGTCGCGCCCTCCCCCTGCCCGTCGCGCCCTCCCCCTCCCCGTCGCGTCGCCACCCCTCCCCTTCCCCTCCCCGTCGCGTCGCCTCCCCTCCTCCTGCCCGTCGCGTTCGCCTCCCCTCCTCCTGCCCGTCGCGTCGCCTCCCTTCCCCCTGCCCGTCGCGTCGCCTCCCTTCCCCCTGCCCGTCGCGTCGCCTCCCCTTCCCCTCCCCGTCGCGTCGCCTCCCCTCCTCCTGCCCGTCGCGTCGCCTCCCCTCCTCCTGCCCGTCGCGTTCGCCTCCCCTTCCCCTGCCCGTCGCGTCGCCTCCCTTCCCCCTGCCCGTCGCGTCGCCCTCCCCTCCCAATCCCGTCGCCCTCCCTTGCCCGTCGCGTCAACCTCCCCTCCCCGCCCATTTCCCACCGTCAGATCCTCCTCCCGCCCATTTTCACCGTCGCATTCGGCCTCCCCGCCCCTCTCTCACTGTTCATCACCTTAGCCCCACCACCGCCTTGTGCGCGGGGCCCTCCCCAGCTCTGCTGACACTGGTCTATCCCTCAGCGGCTGGCAGCCGCTCTCTCTCGCCGGTCACCTAGGTTAGAGCCGTTTTAGCCGCTCATACCTCGCTCCTCGCACCTGTAGCTGGCGATCCACGATTTCACGCCTAGTCTAGGTCGCTCGGTACTCCTAGTCTCTCGCTCCGCCGCTTTCTCTCCTGGCGCTCCGTAGTTTTCCTCCTCGTTCTTAGCTCCGCCTCCGCCGTACTCCAGCCGCCTCTAGCATGGGCTCCGCTATGGAGGCCCGTCGCCTCCGTTTCGATGCGGAGGGACGCCCAATCGAGTTCGGTACCTGGCAGCGCCAGACCACACGCTTCCTCACCAGCCAGCGACAAGACGGCGCCACCCTGTGGGCTCACGCGTCTGGTGCCCTACAGGCCCCCCCGTCCCCCGCCGCCCTGCCGACCACCCCGGAGCCGACCCCTACGGCACAGGCGGACTACGACCGTCGGGTCCTGGCCAGGGACGTGTGGCTCTCGCGTGACGCAGCCGCCGCTCTCACTCTGTCGGAGCTTCTCCCCCCGACTGAGGCCGCCCACTTTGACCAGGTGGAGACTGCACAGGGGGTTTGGGAGGCTATTGTTGCTCGCTACTCCACCCCCTCCTCTGCCTCCCTCAGTCGCCTCCTCATGCCGTTTGTGTTTCCCGACCTAGGCTCGTTTGCGACTGTTTCCGACCTAGTGACTCACCTCCGCTCGCTTGACGCCGGTTTCCGCGCTGCCTGTACCGACGCACAGCTTCTAGTTGCTCCCCCCCCCATGTGGCTCACTGTTCACTGGTTAGTCACCCGCCTCCCTGACCGCCTTGCCACTGCCCGCGACGCGCTTCTTCAGAAGCACCCCACTGAGCTCACTATCGACCTCCTAGCGACTGCTCTAGGGACCATCGAGAGCAGTCTCCTCACCGCTGCCTCCGCCACTGATGCGGTGGCCCCCCGTCTCTTTGCGGGGTGTGCCGCCCCTCAGCTTCCCACTTTCACCGCTACCCGCGCCTCTGCTGCTGTGTCGGTCTCTGAGGACACTGCTGCCGTTTCTGCCGCAGACTGGCAGAAACGGGGCAAGAGCGGCAAGAAGGGCGGGAAGGGGGGGGGTGGGGGCGGAGGCGGCGGCGGTGGAGGGGGCGGTGGAGGAGGCGGTGGAGGTGGGAGCGGCGGGGGTGGAGGTGGCAGCGGCGGCGGTGGTGCACCGGGAGGAGGGGGCCCTGGAGCGGGCGCCGGACAGCCGGGCCCTCCCACTGGTGGAGGCCCACAGGAGCAACAGCCACAGCGGTACCCACAGCAGCACCCGCCACAGCAGGGACAGCAGCAGCAGCAGGGACCGCAGCAGCAGCAGGCACCCCAGCAGTGGGGGCCCCCGCTGCAGTGGGGTCCGCAGCAGCACTGGGGTCCCCCGCCGCAGTGGGGTCCGGGCGGCCCTGGGAGCACCAGCCGCAGCAGCAGTACTTCCAGCTGGGCCCCTCGCCCCCCTCGCCGTGACGCTGGCCCGTGCACCCACTGGTGCGTCACCGGACCGGGGAGCCCCTGTCTCTGTGGTCGCGACGACCACTCTGCCGCGCGGTGCTTCCGCTGCCTCGACGACCTCTACCGGGCTCGTTGGGGCCCGCTGGCGGTCACGCCTCGCTGGTCTCGTCTGTTAGCCCGTAAGATTGATGTCTTTGATTTGTCCATGGACGATGCGCGTCAGCATGCTTTGTATGTTGATGCTGACTTTAGTGCTGATGGATCTGTGTGCTCGCGTGTTCGTAGGTTAGCCTGCTTGCCTCCTGCTAGTGTAGCCTTGTGCCTGTCTAGCTTAGGTGCTTGTGTTGCTGCTCTAGGTGCTTGTGTAGCGACTGGGTCAGGTGACCCGCCGGCTGAGGCCTCTCTGTCGTTCACGTTGGACTCGGGCGCGTCTCAGTGCTTCTTCCGCGACCACACGACCCTTACACCACTCCTCACACCTGTGTCGGTGGCTCTGGTTGATCCTACCTCTGGACCAGCCGTTGCGCGTAGCTCCACCACCCTCCCGTGCCCTGTGGTCCCCTCTGGTGTCCTGCGCGGCCTCCACATCCCCTCGTTCACTCGGAACTTGCTGGGTGTTGGATACCTCCAGGACAGGGGGATCACGGTTACCTTCGTGGGGGATGGGCGGACTGCAGTCTGTACAGACGCTACCACAGGTGCTGTTCTGGCCACGTTCACCAGGGAGCCCCGCTCCGGTCTCTACGTTCTCCACACCGAGCGCTCCCCAGTCGCGTCCTCCCCTCAGGTCGTTGCGTCCCCTCCAGCCCAGGTCCCCAGTCCAGTTGCTGTGTCTAGCCAGGTAGTAGTGTCCGGTCCGGTCGCTGTGCCCAGTCCAGTCGCGGCGTCTTGCTCCTGTCGCTCTCTCACCCACCGCACCGTCCTGTGGCACCACCGCCTTGGCCACCCGTCGCTCCCTCGCCTACGTGGCATGCTCAGTCAGGGACTTGTCTCAGGTCTCCCACGCACCTTCCCGTCGCTCCCTCTCTCGCTTGCCCCTCCTTGCTCTCCGTGCGTCGCCGGTCGCTTACGCGCCACTCCCCACTCCTCCTCCCTTCGTCTGGCCACCGCTCCCTTCGAGACTCTCCACTTGGACGTCTGGGGCCCTGCCCCGACGCAGGGGTCTGGGAGGGAGCGTTACTTTCTGGTGGTCGTTGACGACTTCTCCAGGTACACCACAGTGTTCCCTCTTGCGAAGAAGTCCGAGGTGACTGCTACGCTGATCAGGTGGCTTCTAGCCACTGAGGGCACTCGTGGTCGTCGAGTCAGTTGTCTCCACTCCGACCGTGGGGGCGAGTTTCGCTCCGGCATTCTCGGCGGATTCTGCGGTGAACAGGGCATCACCCAGTCCTGGACGCTGCCAGAGTCCCCACAGCAGAATGGGGTTGCTGAGCGCCGCATAGGCTTGGTCATGGACATCGCCCGCACGTCCATGATCCATGCCCGTGCGCCCCATTTTCTGTGGCCCCACGCGGTTCGCTACGCCGCACACCAGCTGAACCTCCAGCCGTGTGTCTCGCGGCCCGAGGTTTCACCGACCAGTCTTTGGACTGGTTCCCCTGGTGTCGGGTCGGCCTTTCGAGTCTGGGGCTGCCTTGCACTTGTTCGCGACACCTCCGCGGACAAGCTCTCGGCACGCGCCGTCCCCTGTGTCTTCCTTGGTTTCCCAGTGGACTCTGCCGACTGGTCCTTTTACCACCCTCCCCTCCACCACTTCCTAGACTCCCGTGACGTCCGGTTTGACGAGTCCGTGTCCTACTACACCCGGTACCCCTGTCGAGGTCTCCCGGTACCCCCTCCCCCTCTTTTCCTCGCACCCTCTCCTCCTGCTCCCGCTCCTCCGGTACCCCCGCCCCCCCCTGGTCCTGCCCCGTCTGGTGTGTCTCACGTTACCCCTCTACCCTCGCGTCAGGTAGCGTCTCCCTCCCCACAGTCCTCCTCACAGTCCCCTCAGCAGCCTTCGGCACTTCCGGGACAGGTTACTGTGGACTCGGTTGGTGTTGGGGCTGGAGGTGCAGCCACTGGCGGTGCTAGGTCTGGGGGTACTCGGTCGCGGGGTGCTGGAGCTAGAGGTGCTGGCGCAGGTGGCGCCAGCTCTGGGGGTGCTGGAGCTGGAGGTGCTGGCGCAGGTGGCGCTAGCTCTGGGGGTGCTGGAGCTGGAGGTGCTGGCACTGGTGGTGCTAGTTCTGGGGGTGCTGGAGTTGGAGGTCCTGGCACTGGAGGTGCTGGTACTGGGGGTGCTGGAGTTGGAGGTCCTGGCACTGGAGGTGCTGGTTCTGGGGGTGCTGAGTCTGAGGAGTCTGACCCTGGTTCTGCGGAGTCCACTCCGCCTCCCCACCGCCACTACACACGACTCCAGGCTGCCCGCCGGCGTGAGCGTGAGGAGCAGGAGCGGTTGGAGAGGGAGCGGCAGGAGCTGCGGGTGCTGGACCTTCTGGAGCAGCAGCGGCAGCAGCAGCAGCAGCCGCCGCAGCAGCCGCAGCCGCAGCCGCAGCCGCCGCCGCAGCAGCAGCAGCAGCCGCAGCCGCCACCGCAGCTTCCTCTGGAGCGGCAGTTGTTCCCACCTGTGAGTGGCCTGCGGGCCCTTGGCTTTTCCTCCTCTCCTCTTGTCCGCTCCCAGTCTCCTCCTGTGTTTGTTCCTCCGTTGCCTCCTCCTGACGACCGTCCGGCGGTCTGGTCTTCTCCTCCTCCCCAGTCTCCTCCTCCTTCGGTCCGTCGCGACTTAGTCACTCGTTGTCCTCCGCGTGCTCGTCACTCGTCCCCTGTTACTGACCTCCACACTGCCCTCCTTTGTACGTCTCGTCGTCGTTCTCCTTCTCCTGTGTCCGTTCTCCCGTCTCCTCCTCTGTCCTCTCTCCCAGCCCTCCCCACTCCTATCACTGACTACTACCGCACTGTTCGTCCTGTTGCCGCACGTGTCCTCGCCACTCTTGTCACCGACTCTCGTTTCCCTCCGTCGTCGGTCTCTGCGCTCACTGCTGCTGTCGCTGAGTTTGCTGCCGCCAGCCGCCTTGACTACGCCACCCGTGTGGTGCCAGCTCCTCCCTACCGTCCTCTGTCCGTCGGGGGTGAGTTTGCCCTTGGCTGTGACGTCCTAGAGGATAGAGAGTCTGAGCTGGAGTACTGGGCAGCCGCTTCTCCCTCTGTGTGTGCCATGCTGCTCTCCCCTGAGGGAGACCCCGACGCCCTTGACATACCGACTCCTCGCACTTACCGCGAGGCAGTGTCAGGGGCGTGGGCCTCTCAGTGGAAAGCGGCTATGGACTCAGAGTTGGCGTCTTGGAGATCCACAGGCACCTACGTCGACGCAGTTCCCCCTCCCAGGGCGAACGTAGTCGATGGCATGTGGCTCTTCAAGGTGAAGCGGCCGCCTGGAGCACCGCCGGTGTTCAAGGCGCGCTACGTGGCTAGGGGCTTCAGTCAGCGTGAGGGAGTTGACTTCAT